CAGAGAGAAAGGTCTTCCTTTGCCGCTGGTTCACCCTCCAATGGCCGCCGCTGCAGCCGGCGCACCGCGCTGATCCTGGCAGGAGCCAGGAGCCAGGTGCTTTTCCTGGTCTCCCATGGGGTGCAGGGCCCAAGCACCTGGGCCATCCTCCACTGCACTCCCTGGCCATAGCAGAGAGCTGGCCTGGAAGAGGGGCAACCGGGACAGAATCCGGCGCCCCAACCGGGACTAGAACCCGGTGTGCCGGCGCCGCAAGGTGGAGGATTAGCCTATTGAGCCACGGCGCCGGCTCTCCATTATCTTAACCACTTGTCCCAACGCTGCCCTCTTTTCCTCATGTAAATGCCAAGGTATAGAGAAAGCAGAAATGAAAGAAAACTGCATAAAAGTAGCTGCTATCATAGTCCCAAAGATTGGAGCTCTCCTCTGCACCCCCCCTCACCTGCTCTGGAAGACGGAATCCCTGCATGGATTCCCTGGAGCCAGCTGACTGTTTCTGGTTCTTCACCCTCCACTCCAGCATTTTAACCCATTGCCCTCTCTATCTCAGCAAAAGCTCTTCTTTCGAAGTCCACACCCGTGTTCCTACAACCTTCTTCTCTCCCTCACCTCCAACCAGGGAGCTGCGGGCAGAACATTCTCCTACTCTCCTTAGTCTCTGCAACCCCCACACAACTTTTCTTTCCATACCATCCATCCCTACCATGCCATTCAAGTTCTGTGTTCTGAATAATTGTGCCCGCCCCCAACCCAAAGTCATACATTGAGGCCTAATCCTCAGTGTGGTGGTTTTGAGAGGCGGGGCTGTGGGTAGATGGTTAGGTCATGAAGCAGAGGCCTGTGGGAGCTGGGGAGAGCTCCCACACATGAAGATGCTGGGAAAGGTGCATCTATGGAGCAGGGAGCGAAGCATCCCCGGATGCAGGATCAGTTGCCGTCTTGATCTTGGACTCCCTGGCCTCCAGAACTCTAAGAATACATTTCTGTCCTTTATGAGTTACCCAGGGTCAGGTGCTTTCCTATAACTGCCTTAAAGGACTGACACTGCCACTCCAAAACTCCCAATGATTCTAACACCCTGATCTCAATGTCCTCAACTCCTAAAAGTGTCATTGTCTCCAAGCCCTTTCATCAGTAGTCCACACTTCAGATCTTTTCTGCACAGAACCAGTCCCCTCTCGAATTGTCAAATCTGAATTTTTCCCTCTCTGATTGCATTTTCCCCTCTTTTGTGTCCTCATAGGACACCATCATCACATCAACCTTTCCCTATTCTTCTGCTTCTCCTTAGCCCCTCCTCACTTTCTGGACCACTTTCCCTAGCGCATACCCCAGAATCCCCCAGCCCTTGTCTTTCTGCCCTTCTCAGGACTATCTTCAATACCCAATGACACTCAATATCATCCTGTGTCCTGGGACCTGCTGTAACCTGTCTAGTGCTAATAGGGAGTCTTGGTCCCTTCCTGTTCTCCAGTCCCAAATGATCACTATTTTTGTAAATTCCATGTTGTATCCTCATACAACTGTTATCAACGTCTCCTGCATCCCATAAGTCCCACGCCATCCCTTAGACTCTCCATCTCAGCAGATGGTTGCCTCTGCTTCTTTACTGACACTGTCAAGCACCACATCTCCACCTGACTTGTCACTGCTCTTCAACTTAACAGGCCCCAAACTCAGCCAATGTCCCCAACGTCTACCCAGTTGTTTGTGCTTGCTACACAGGGGTCCTCCTGACTGCTCCCTCTCTCACATACCTTGCACTCAATCAATCCCCAGGGCTTGTTGATTCTACCTCCAGCATTCTACCTCTTAAATCATTCTATCCCATCACCATCATTTACAACCATCCTAGCTCTGACCATCGTCTCTCGCCAGGATCACTGCAGGAGCCTCTTGAACAAACCACCCCTTTCACTTTGTCCTCCTCCAGTTGATCATTCTATCCCATGGTGATCAAATTGATGCTTTCAAAATGCAAAGCTGATCATGCTATTCCACTGTTTCAAACCTCTTTGTGACTTCTCACAGTGAGAGGACAAATTTCAAAATTCTTACCATAGCCTAGAAGTCACCTTGGGTAACCAAGGTAACTTGCCCCTCTCTGCAACCTCATCTCTGTCTACTCTTTCTTTCATTGTCTACAACCCGATCTTCTCTTCTTTTGAGTGCTAACTTCTTTGCTACTGCATAGACTTCTAATGTGCTGTCCTTCCACATTTTTCACACTTTACTGCTCATCTCCACCTGGAGAATGCCTCTTCTTTGTCTTGCAGTTCTCAGCCTAACTGCTACTTCCTCAGGTGCGATCCCTTGCCTTGCCCAGTGTAGAGTGGATGCTATAGGGTACTCTATACTCTTTCCTTACACTGTGCATCACGAATGCAAAGGCATCACTATTCTATGACTGCCTACTTAATGGCCGTCTTTCCACTGCTCTATAAGCTCCACAAGAACAGGTACATGTCTCATCTGCTCATTGTGTGTCCAGACCTGGCAGAGTGCCTGGCATAAGCACCAAGTTGGGCTCCACCCTTCAGGGAATGAGTTTGTGGATGGCCACAGCAGCAGAGTGGGTAGCAGGAAGCCAAGTCTATGGAACTGGTAGCCCTTGGATCCCGTTCTCCAAGAGCCTCGTGGTCTTGCTTCCTTGCTTTTTCTGGTGTTTTTCAGCACTCCTAACCATCATCCTGTCAAGAATTTATCTTAGCATTGTTGAAAATATTTCACTTAGGGAGAACTTGTTCAGAGGGTGCCAAGGGTCTCCCTGGCTACCCGTACCAGCTCGTGGCCATATCGGCTACTTCCTGTGTATTAATCATTGAGAATGTATGAGCAAGGCGTGCCCTTGCATTTCCAGGACTCTTCACCCTCACCTCAATGCCCACAGCCCCCAGAGCACCCATTCATCACCCACTCCCTTCAGTCCCTCTAG